TAATCTCAAGCTTAAAAAAAAAGATAAATATACATTTTATAAGGAGAGGACTGGGCAGTAACTGATTTCTGCTCGCGGCGACCTCTTTGTTTACAAGCCAAGGTTTGGAGGGCCTGCAGTGGCATGTTATCTGCGTGGCTCATTGCAAAGAGACGCATTAGCTAAGGGCCTGCTTAGTTTCAACACAATTGCCATGTCACACAAGATTCAGGAGAGTCTTATCTTGCAGAGAGCCTTGCTCTTGTTTACATCGGGGGAAATCAGCCCCTTTATTCCAGAGTCAGGAACCGTGGAAGCATTCAGAAGACTCTGATAGTCAGATTTCTTTATTTTCCTCTGTGGGTTGGGGCTTCAATTCCTTTGAGCTTTGCTGGCTGGGAATTCTGGGGCTTGATGTTGGAGGAGGTTGCTAGAACCCTAGCTGTCAAAGTCAGAGAAGGACAAAAGAGGGGGCATTTCACAGAAATCGCAGAGCCCCTTGCTGATCAGCCACAGCTTGAATGTAGGGGAATCGGGTGTTCCAAAAAGCTCAAGAGAACTGTATGGCCTGTTCAGTTTCCATTGCTAAAGGTCTCCATCACTACCTGCACGTTCTGGACCTGCATAACTCACAAGTTGATGGACCAAGGGTCAACTTGGGTCATCCCTTCGTTGGTAGGCCACATTAAGCAAGCAATCCTGGTTTATTCAGTCACAATGTATGTGAACAGTATAGAGGCCCAGCTTTAGGCCACGATGCCCTAGAGTCAGGCTGAGGTCTGAAGACCAATTATAGGAAGCAGTTTCAAAGGAGGCTCTCGGAGTCATTTCAGAAGGTCCAGAGATGATGACTCAACCTCCTTGAACTCACAAGTGAACCAAAACTGATTGTTACGTCCAACAGGGACTGGGTCGTATTTCGCCCCAAGAGGCTGAAATTATCAGCTCTTAAAAAAAAAAGGAAAGATTTACAAGCTTGGTTTATTTGCACATAATCTGCCTGATCCCAGATTTGCGTGGAATAATTCAGTCTAGATCTGCTTGCCTGCTTCATCAGGGGGAGAAGAAAAGCATGAACGGGCTACACGCAGCAGACCTCCTTCATATGCGTTGGGTTTAATTCAATACATCTGGATTTCTGGGTGAAAATCATCCACGAACGCAGCCCCCTTTTTTTTTACACGTATACACTTAGCCCAATTTACTCTGCACTCGCAAAAAAGATTGACAAAAACTCTTTGGCAGAGTTTTTTTATACAAGGCTATATTTGTTAAACGATTTTAGCCTTCAGGCATCCTGCAGTGTAACTTTCCAGCACTCCAGAATGAAAGCGAGAGATCTGTTTTATTATTATTTTGAATTTGTGCCCTGGAATCAGCCCTCGCGTTCCAACCTTGGTCCCGGCTGCGAGGATGAGTTGTGGGCCAGGATATCTGCGATGAAAAGTCAGCAAAATGCCTTCCCCCCAGCGTCCCTCGTGGCAGGCGGTGCCTCCTCCCCACACGGAGAATCGAGGTGTCCATGGAAGTTGAAAAAAGTTGGCCTCGTGTGGATGAAAGCTAAGAGCACGGGAGAGGCCAGAGAGCAGAGACTTTGCCAGGAAAGAGATGCGTTCTGGCCCCACGAGCTGGCCAAGGAGAACAGATTTTGGAAATGGAGGGAGGGAGGGGGGATCCCATCCTGGCCGAAAACCAGATGTTCGCGGCAGCCAGATGGAGAGGAATTTTGGACTCTGCAGAAAACAGCCTGAGCTCCCTCCGGCCCCGTGGGAACCTCTGCTTGCCGGAGCTCAAGTCACAGGACCCTATGAAGGAAAAAGTGGCGGGGGGAAGGAAAGGACCATGCATTCTTCCTAATCATAAAGGATCTCTTTATTCCTCTCCCCCCCCCCTTTGGTGCAGATGACGTTTTCCGTTCTAGCTTTCTCTTCTCTCGAAAATTATACTTCTCGCGAAAAAGGATAAGTTCTTCTTTTCGGCTCATGCCCGTATGCTTTTCCACAGAGGTCACGGGCCCGCAGTTCAATTTAACTTAATCAAATACTGTGAGGTTGGTACAGAACGCGCCATTTCTGCCCCAGTCACCTAAACAGGAGGTTTTTGGCTAAGCAAGACTTTTCCTGCAAGGGATCCCGCCAGGTTTCCTGGTTTATTCCATCCACGCTGCAGCTCAGCATGATGGGCTTCATTGTTGAACCCGCTTGGAAGGCCCTGCTGGCCAAGTCCCCCCCACCCCCATCTTTGCAATGCCCTTGGTGTCTCCACCGCTTAACATCTGGAGCCTAGATGGGCGTTGTTTAGCTTTCGAATACAGGAACTCGGATGCCAAATTTGGGTTAGTGGCTCATCGGAGCTGAGGGCCCGAAAGAGATGTCGCTGTTGCTCCGCTGTTATTTCCATCCAGTGATTTGGGGCGGGGGGGGGAGGAAGGATGCTCTACATGGCTCCCCAGCCCCATAGGATCTTGGGGGGAGCTAGGAAACAGCTGTTAATCTCTTTGCCCCTCTGCGCCCCCCTTCCCCCCGGTCATCCCCGCCTTGCTAATTCCATCTGTGTTTTGAACACATCTTTTTTTCCTCCCACCCCACTTCTGTAATTGCTTCCAGATGTGGCAACCGCAAACACAGGATGAGATCAGCCCTGGAGCCTTCCGCCAAGCGCACGAGACCCGCTGGGAGGGCCAGGCTGGGGAGGGGCAAAGTCACACCTCCCCGTAGAACAGGACCCCCTGTTGAGGCTCAACACTCAAGGGCCAGCCAGCAGTTTCCCCCCTCTCCAAATTTCACCCCAGTTTAGCTCCAGAGCCTCGCTCATCTTGAAAGCGTCCCTCCACTAGATTATCCCTGACTCAGTTGAATTGAGGGCGACATTGCGGTTGCATCAACAGAGACAGGATACAGAGGTTGTGTGTCATGCATCCATCTCTGGAGATTTGATTTTTTTTTTAAATTTATATATATGGCCTTCTGTGAAGGAGCACCTTTAAAAAAAAAACAAGAGTCATTTGATTTAACCCTTTCTTTTATTTTCTTCCCCATCGCCTGGCACTTTTCAATCCAAAACGCGCCAAGTGATCGCTTCACAATGTCTTCGCATCACTTCGTTTTTTTGGATTTGCTTGTTTTAAAAATGAAAGGGGGCAGAAGCAAAACCTGCCTTCAAGAGACACGGGAGGTTGATCATTGATGTCCTCCCACCCTTACAGTTTGCAGGTTCGGGCACAACCAACATTTCAGCTCCTTTCCGAAATGTAAATTCTAAGGATGCTCTGCAATTCAGCTCCTGAACCCATGGAAGCTCAAGAACGCAGCGTCCTGGCCATGTGCAGAGTGCCAAGCCAGCAGAGCTGACTTCTTCAGCAATCAACCTCCCTTCCCCTACCAGGCACGCTCACGCACACAAACACACACACACCAAATTTCCCGGAACTGTCATGTCAGTTTGCAAAGCAAAATACCAGGAAAGATTATTTCAAAATAAACATTACACAATAGGATAAAGTAGGATAGCAATTAACCAACAGGAGTACCATCTCATTTTCAGGAAAAAAAAAAAAGCCAGTCAGTTTGCTAGAATGGGATCAAGCTTTTAAATTCTGAATGGGGAGAAAACCGGGAATGAGAAAAACTTTGTCCCTTCATAACTTTTGTTATTTCCAATGCCTCCCTCTCGACTTTGGATCTAGTCTGTGCCAAGAATATTCATATTCAACGTATTTTGGCAGGGTTAAATGATCAGATCATGGGGTTTTTTGTGGAATTCACGCAAATCCATAACCACCCCGCCCCTACCCACTCACCCTCACTTAAACTCGGTAACCCGCCCTGAATTAAAGCAGGATTCAGTCGCATGAAATGGAAAGATTCTATTCTTGAGAGTCGCATTGGGCTCTATCCAAACTTTAACCCACAAATTGCAGCTTCTAATTAATTGAAGACATGTCCCTAGCCCTACGCATGATGCCCTCTGGATATGCTGGACTACAACTCCCATCATTCTCAGCGTGGCCACATTAACAGGGCACTTGACAGCTGTATTGTCTCTCTTGGATGGCGGGGGGGGGCAGAGGCTATGCTAAAATACTTTGAATCTTGCGCAAAATTTTAATAAATCTTTAGCCTGCAATCTTTCATCAAAAACTACTTGGGAGTAATTTTCTTTGAATTCAGAAGGACTAACTTCTTGCGAACCGTCTTATTAACAAACCAAACATGTTGAATTAATTTCTATCCTTGCATTTTCAACATTTTAGACAAATAAGAAGGAACAACATTCCAGAAAGGGATCCAAGTTCACCAGATTGCTGATTTACTACTTTCCCCCAAAAGAAAAAATAAATCACACTTTATACTACTTTAAAAAAAGAGGGGAAATTCCAGCATTTATTATTTTTCTTAAAAAAAGAAAAAGAAAAAGAGAAAAGAAAAATCTTTGGTCTTCTTTTAGAGAAAAGAAAAATCTTTGGTCTTCTTTTAGAGAAAAGAAAAATCTTTGGTCTTCTTTTAGAGAAAAGAAAAATCTTTGGTCTTCTTTTAGAGAAAAGAAAAATCTTTGGTCTTCTTTTTAATAACAAAACAGTTACGAACAACTTGTGCAGGGGCAAAATCAAAATAAATCTTTTAAAACTCCCAGCGTTTTGAGTCCATTTCCACCCAGAAATGGTGTTGTTGTTTTTTTATTATTATTATTGCTAACATTAAAAGGAATAACAGGATTAAACAGCCTACATTACAGGCTGTAGCAATTTGACATATATTTCCCTTCTAAAGAATGGGTGTTTATTATTAATAACAAAATAATAATAACAATAATAAAGTAGAACAATAAACAATATTATACCCCACCCGCAAACAATTCTATCGTTAAACACAGTTTAATTCCGTTTGGAGACCATTTGAAAATACTTATATAACCTACCCCCCTGCCCCAGTTAAAAATGTTCTGAACAGGAAAGGAGAGGTGGTAAGGCACCCAATTCCCGGCCTGCAGGATTTTGAAATTCTCCTCCTATGCCTATTCTATTTCCCACACCCCATTAATGCGCTATTTTTAACTCCTTGCTTAAAAAAAAAAAAAAGGCATTTCTGTATAATAATTAAAATTACATAAAAAAAAATCAAGACACACGATGATAAGGCAGTTTGAGGCAGTTCTCTGGTGCAATTCTCCTCTTCCCCCTCTTTGCGAAACACCGCTTTCTATCCTTTTTGCAGAATCCGGAATGGATTTTAAGTGACAACTGTAAACGTCATGCAAGTATCGTCAGATGAAGAAGTAAACACTTCCAGAAGTGGCACTGCCAACATTTGAACTTGGCTGACCTCCTCGGCCTCCAGCCAGGTGCCCTACAGGTATATAGGTGTACAGGTATATTTGGGCTCCGTGCCCAAAACTCTTGGCCAAGTACTGAGAGTTTAGTCCTAACCTGGGGTGTCCATGGGAGGAGTAAAAAAAGTCAAGATAGCCGTCACGGTGGCCCCATCTTGACTTTTTGGACCCCCCTGGCCACCCTTGATCTCAACATCTGGAAGGCACCAAGATGGGGACAGCTGTTCTAGACAAACATCTCCTCCAACCCGCACAATCATTCTCCCTCTCTCTCTCAAACATGCCCCGTTTCCCATTACGGTCAAGGTACCAATGTTCCACTCCATTACATCGCGGGCAAAGCTCTGCTTTACCCCCTCCCCACCTGACTAGATTCCTCCCCACCCCCAAGAAAAGAGGGTGTTTGGGCCAGACCCTCTGCCCCTTGCAACCCACCCACTTCCCTCCCTGCTATTTCCGATTGGGTAGTCTTCCATAAGTCCTTGGACTGGTCAGCCATGGCTCCTCCCCACTTTTCAAGCCTTGCCCAATGGAATGGGAGTGTCCCCTTTGGAATCCGTGGTCTCTCCCCTGGAAGGGGCAGTTTCCCTTTGTGGTCTGTAACGCTTCACCCACTAACAGGCCAAAACCTGCAATTCCCCTACTCATTGCTGTTTGGTTGAGCAACGCAGAGGAGATGTTTCTCCACCAGTCAATTCTATTTGTTCTTGGAAGGAAGGACCGGCGAGAGATGGCGAGGGTGGCGAGAGAGATCTGGTGACCAATATTTTAGATCGAAGGTCCCTGGGATGATCACGAGAGCCTAAAGTATTCGCCGTAGGTCGGAATAAGTGTCTCTTTTCTCTACGAGGTCAAAGGATGCCCCCTTGCAAGAGGGTGGCAACAAGGCTGGCATCGCCATCACCCCTGTAGAGTGTGATCCTCTACTTTATGCCTCATCGAATTACTTTAAGGAGTGTGCTCAGCACACCCACTGCCCAGTGGGGTGAGAACGGACAACGGAAACACAGTGGAAAGGGAACAAACGCAGAAGGGAAAGACAGGAGGGGAGGTAGGAGAAAGCAAACGAAGGCGGAGGACCAGCCCTGGTGAAGGAAACCTTTTAGAGAGAGAACATGGCTGGCGGCCAGCAGGCAGGACGAGCCAGAGGTCTGACGGAAAAAGGAGGCAGAAGCAGGGGACAGAGGGTGCCAGGACAGGATGACCCAAGGTGACAACTAGGGGACCGGAGCCAAATTGTGGCAGACGGGGGGGGAGGCAGGTGAGACCTATACTCCCAAGCCAGGTAAAATACAGGTCACACCTTGTCCAGCAGAGAACGCTGGCAATAGAGCAACCGCTTGGGCGTGCCGTAACGCTTGAAGATGAGAATGGCTACCCCCAAGGCGCAGATGGTGAGGAGCAACAGGACAGGAACGACCACCGCGGCTGCGTTCAGCCCCCCTTCCTCAGCATTGTCCACCTCGATGATGATCACTTCTTCTCCCTCGCGCCGGTCATCGGAGCTACACCCCATCCAGTCTCGGAGCACCGACTTGGGGTATCCCGGTTCCACCTTCAGCTTCTCGTTATTAAACTTCCAGTAGCGGTCTCCCTTGTAAAAGTAGGTGAAAGCTATTGAGGGAAAAACGAGAAGCCGGGAAAGGAGACATGGGAGAGTAAGAATGGGGTGGAAAGTTAAATGAGAAACACGACACCCATTTTAGACTTTCATTAAACATTTCTTCAAAGGATCACTTCAGACTCGATTTGCGATGCCAGAAGGAGTATCATGGGGGTTAAATAAACAGAACTTTAAAAAAAAAAAAAAATTGACAGCAATCTTACGCTCTGTGGGTAAAATAACAGTTCCAAATTTGGTATTATCTGGGAAATGTTTGGAAAAATGTTTTATACAAAACTGATCTTTACTGGGCTGAACCTAGAGACTGATTTTTCAATGGGAGTTCAATTAAACTTAAGAATCGCCCTGGTTGATTCCTACCAATTTTTCTGAACGCTAAAGGGTTTCTATCAAGCCTTTGGACGCCTCATTTTCATTTCATGTTAGAAATCTGCAGGATATATTTAGTGAACAAAAAATTGAGACTGGTTTTTCAATGCATATTTTAAGAAATTCTGATGGCGCTTTAGCAAAACTTCCAAATTTGGGTTAGAAAGAGTAAGGGTTTCTTCCTCCAAAAAAGGAAGATGATTAATCTAATCATAAGTCAGCCCATGTATGAATAATCATTACTAATTGACAGTGAATTGTTTTATGCAGGGACACACTAACTCCACGTTGAGAGACACCAGAAGCTTTTCGTCATGGCGGAAATGACTCTTAACCACTCATCTGTCTTCCTATCAGTAAACGTGGAATGGAGGGGAATTTGCTGTGAGTTTGCAGCTCTTAAAGTTTGCATCTTCAAAGATGTGGGCAGAATGTTATTTTGATCACCTTAGAAGGAGGGAAATGACAGGCAGTCATCCTATTCGCTGGATTTCATTGCTTTAATTTAAGACCATTCAAATGTAAAACTTAATCCAATTTAATTGCATTCACTGGAATTGGCTAAATCAATTTCAACTTTCGTCCTGGCTCTGCCCACTTCTGGAGTGGGCCCTCCCCCACCCCATCACCCCAGTTTGAAACCAAGTCAGCCCTTGGCTTGAAAGAGGAAACAACTAATTCTCTGTTGCTGGAGAAAAGGGGAGCAGACCCAGGGAATTAAAAGTATCAGGAAAAAGGTTCAGGCTAGACATCAGAAAGAACTTCCTGACTGTACAAGCTGTCAGCCAGCAGAACAGCTTGCCACATGAAGTGATGGAGGTCTTCAAACAGAGGCTGAATGGTCATCTGCCAGAGGTGCTGCGGTGGAACTTCACGGACCAGGGATTTGGACTAGGAGACCTTCTAACTCAAGGGTTCTATGAAAAAGTATGTCATTGCCTTAAGGCATTTCTGCACGTGGGTCCAAAATTACCCAGCATCCTGACAGGAGAGGTGGGCAAGAAACACCTTCTGCAATTATGAGGTTAGCTAGTATTGGAGGTGAAACAGAATGTCCTGGATTAAAATCTTGACTTGGCCATGAGGCTCACTGGGAAACTTTGGGCTAGACATTCCCTTTCAGTCAAACCTACAGGGTTGTCGAAGAGATTCTTGATGGTAGACTAAAGTGCTTCTTGTGTTCAGTGATCCCAGGTATCAGAACAATTTACCTTACCTTCAGAGCCTCCTATGACTCTAGATCAGTGTTTCTCAATCTCATCAACCTCAAGATGCTTGAACTTCAACAGGGGGTTGAAGTCCAAGCATCTTAAAAATTGTTGAGGTTGGGAAACACTGCTCTAGATCACTCAGCTGTGCAAAAGACAGCAACCTGGTGTGAAAAGCACCGATTGACCTTCCCCAGTCAGCCATGTTGTGTTGGACTACAGGTGCTATTACCACCCACCTTAGATGGCTGATGGGAATTTTTAGTTTTAATAGTAGGGTGCCGTTCTGCAAAAAAGTGTAATAGATAGTGGGAATGCAATTGATGGTAGAAAAGCAGTTTCTTTTATATGATCTAAATCTTCTCCACCCCTTTCTGTCTTCCCTGTATCTTACCCTCATCGCTGCCCATAAATGCACCACGGGGTGATTCAGGAATTCCTTCCCAGACATCAATGTTCTTGGGGTAGTCCGCATCAACTGATCGGCTCTCCTCGTTGAAGCGATAATATCTGCATCATGAAAAGAGAACATCAGGGTCCAATGCAGAGAGGAAGAGACCCACAAGAAATTGAATTTGGCCTCCACTGTAACCACGCGCTCCATAAAAACCATCGAGAAGACTGCAATGGCAATAATTAAATCTTGGGATGCTGTGAGATGATGTGTGGACCACTAAGATAGTCTTTAGAAAGGACTACGTGAATTCACAGAGGAGATATGTCTATCAGCAGCATTTAGATGGGAAATCTGGATTTCATGCTAGGATTCTGAACCTCCGGCAAACATCTGTCTAGCTTATCACCACTGGAGAAACAGGACAGGTCTTTGTTCATCTCAAAGAAGTATCATGTTGGCAATATAATGTTGATCATGCCACCATAACCAAACCAAATTACTTGTAGCAAACTGGCCACTCAACTTTTGTTTCTATTAAGATTCCAGAAATGTTGGCCAGGATCCAATTTATCACACAGACCCATCAGCTTGTCCCCCTCCCCTAAATCAGACTCTCAAGACCTTATCCTTTCAATCATAGGTGTCATTGTTTAAAAAGAAAACAATTTTAGTCTTTTTAGTTATCAAGATAGACTTGGAAATGTCAAACTGAAATCCTAGCATCTCCAAAGAAGGATGAGTTAGTTTTCCAACCAACTGGAAAATAAGTTGCTTTAGGATAGGGTTCCAGAAAGCTTTCCAATTATCATAGGCTGGAAACAAAACATTCTTGCTCTCATAGGTTTCAAAATCCAAAGCTTACTCTGCATTTCCCCATATTCTTCTTGGCCAAAAGCCCATTTCACCATGAAAAAGCAATAGCAACTCCATTACCTCCTACCCACTGAATTTTCTGTCCCGTTACCCCAACCATAATGAATGGCTGGAGGTGGAGGGTGGTCACCGCATGTATTGGACAGAGCTAGAAAGAACCAGTACAGAGCTGAACAGGCAGAGTTTTGAACACCCCTTGGGGGCGGGGAACATCAGATGGGAGACCAACAGAAAATCCCAGATGGCAACACGGATGTCAAGCTTGACTCAAGGGAGACTCTGAAGATGGAAACCAGCTACCATTACTGAGGTACTCCTTATCCAGCCAGATAGAGGTGGGGATGATAGTTTTCCAACTCACTTATTTCCCCGGAAGAAGTACGTTTTTCCGCTCGGCATCCAGAAAAGTACAGCGTCGATCCGATCCGTGGGAAGCCTCCTTCCTAATTCCTTGATATGTTTGGGGTATCCGGGTTCCAGGTTGGCTTCGTTGAAAACCCAATGCTTGTCTCCTGCAAGAAGAAGGCAACCAGCAACGCTAACGATCTCTGCTCTTCTTTAGAAACACCAAAAGCAGTTGACCCTCCGATTCACTTAACATCAGACTCCAAAATGAATAAGGTCCACCACGGCCGGGTTTTATGTCATTGGTGGCTTCAGGGTAGTTCTGGTGCAAACAGAATGGTTAACGGCTAGAATATTCATTTGCTTATTTCAAACCACTTGGGAGCAAGAATTGGCCTCGTCTAGGCCTCCTGCGTTTCCTTTGGATTTATAGAGAATCCGGGTAGAGCCACACAGATTAAAATCTGAGCCACACCAACCACGCCATGGGGCAAAGACTCGTCAGGTTAAAGAGCAAAGGGCCTTCAACTGATCCCTCAACCGTCCGGATCCCAACATTATTCCAACTTTGTGTTCCCCAAAGAAGTCTTCTCCAGATGTCCTGGATTACAATTCCCATCATCCTCAGCCAGGGCACCCACCAGCTGCAGGGGCTGGAGGTTTGAGATGAGTTGTCCAGAGACATCAGGAGAACATCAGCTTGGGAAGCACTCACTCACTTCAGCTAAACGCATCGCCAAACCACAAATTCAACTTGGCCTCCCTGTTAATTTGGCCTGGAGTCAAGCCGACGGACTGACAGATGATCTACAGTTGATGGGCAGTTCACATAGAGTCACGGACTTTAGGCAATTGTGTCTCAACATTATTTCAACAGCTCAGTTTGCCAAAACCAGGAGACCATTTGGAGCGGGGAAAAGGATTTTAAATTGTTTCTTCACATTCCAGATAATCCAGGTGGCCCTTCTTGGTCAGACATCGTGCCCTTCAGACACAAAACATAACCCACTAACCTTTGAAAAAGACAAATTTTCCATCTTTCCTCTCATACGCCGTGTTGATCGTTGAGGGAAGACCGACCCAGAACTGGCCAATAGGGAGAGGGTACCCGTCCATCACCCGGTTATTCCGCACGCGCCAAAACCATTTATCCTGGAAAATGGCAAATTTTACGTCTATATCCAACTGTGTCCAACTGTTTCATTTAATCAATCAAACTACACACAATTAAATGAAACTTCAGCAGCAGTTTTTCAATGTCCTTGGCAAATTCAACTCTATGCTCCTTCGTATCCAAAATCATAAGATACAGATGGCATAGATCAGGGATAGGTGGCTTACTTTAAATTTCCAGTCTTTCACATAAAACGTATAGGAAAACTTATACTCCAGATGGGGTTGGACAGAAACCTTTTCTCATAAGTAAGAGAAACGTGGGGTACGCAGCAATCCAACTGTGGTTAATCTCATGGAAATATGTGCTAGACTGCTGGCAGAATCTATTTTTTTCCCAACGCAGAATTCAGGTTACAGAATTCTGCAGGACGTTGCGCAATGCAGAGCGGGCCCCAAAGCAAAGGGATGCCTCTCCCACCCACCCAACACCCCTCCTCTCTGCTTTGCGATCCTCAATCCGTCCAAACACCTCACCTTAAAGACGAACATCTCGCCCCGGAGTACAGCAATGGTGTCAAACCGTCCGTCGCAGATGTTGGGGCCATAGGTCGGGTTCTTGGGGGGCTTGTGAGGGTTTCGTGGCTTCGGAGTAGTGCGAGGGATCGGTGGAGGCTTGCTGGGGTGGCCAATTTCAGATCCTGGAAAGAAGGAAGGAAAAAGTTGGTCTTAAACTTAATCTTAACTCCAAAATCTGACACGGCTGATGTGTTGGGAGACTTCTCTAGCTTGTGGACCTCCACAGGGTTGGCCTGCAATCTCCCAGCTCCCCAACCAGCCAGACCACTGGACCACCAGCTGAGAAAGATGGGAGTTGCGTCCAACGCATCAGGCCAGGTTCTGGAGTGAGGAACACTGCTCTAGAAGTTGAGGAACACAGCTACGAATCATCGAAGCTCCCTCTAATCCTCCCATCAGAAAGGATTAAAACAAAACCTCATCGTTCGAGGACATTCTCTAATCAACAGGCAACATTTCCAAGAACAGAAGGCAATGTTTGAATTGGTGTACGGGGAAGCAGGAAGAAAAAGCTATGGAGGGATCTAGTGAAGGGTTTGGGGGCAAACTAGTTTAAGTTCTTTCCTTTTCCTTCTTATCTCATACCTTTGCTTTCTTTGATTTCTTTACTCCTTTTCTAAGCTCTGCATAGCATTTCTTACCTCAAAAAGGAATGCCATGATGGGTGTGTATGTATGAATCTATATATCTATGTAAATAGATGCCTGACCAACCATGTGATTTTTTTTTCTTCACACCTGCCGACAGGTAAGGTACCCATAATTCTAACAGAGCATCTTGCCACCCCAGTGTCAGGTAATAAAAGTAGCTCTGAGCAAAGCAAGGGGAAAAAAAGGTCTTCATCATGAATGGTGGAAGTAGACCAGCAAGCATGGCCACCGTCTTCTCGGAAAGACTGCCATTGGTAGCATGAGAGAAACATCTGCTTCCCACCTGGACCAGGTTTAGTGGTCTCCATACATGCAACTGTTGAAGATGTCAGAGGAAGAGAAAAGCAAAAAGTGAAGCTGATTAAGGAATCAGGAGATCACAGTGGGATTGCGCAACTCATACCATAGAGCTGCTGTATGCCCCGCCGGTCATCTTCTGGCAATTCAAAGTTCTCCGTGTCCATCCACTGGTAGAAAGGGGCCATGATGGCAGAAGGGTCATTTGAATGCTCCAACCCCAGCGCATGACCCAGCTCATGGACAGCGACGAGGAAAATGTCATTTCCTGCAAGACAGAGGGCAGGAAATTAAGTCATTTCAGAGGATGCTGATGAAAACCATACCTCATCCTTCAGCTGTTGCAACTCCCCTTAACCTGGAGAAACGCAGAAGGGACCACGGATCAGGGAAGCAGAAGAGAGATATTTCTTCACAACAGAGTCAAGACTACGTCATTCAACAAAACATCGGGGATGTGGAAGATGGAGCCTCTTCTATGGGTACTGCCAAGAGTGCTCATGAAGGGTGGGGAAAAAGGAAATTGAGAACGTGATCAAGGAAGTCTGGGGAAGTGGAAAAGAGAAGCAGCGTTCTGCTGGGTCCCGAGCGAGTGAGTAGCAGAGAGGGGATTACCCATGGATGCATCACTCTCCATGATTCATTTGTGCAATATCTTTGGCTTCCAGGTTCCTCCAAGGGTCACTGTCTCCATCCCACCCCTCAACATCCCCCATCGAGCCTGCTCCCCAAATCAGCCCTCACCACTGAGGTCATCATTGCGAGATGTCCAGGGCTCGGCCGCATCAAAGTGAGTGTCCCCTCCAATGTGGGGCCCAGGGAAGTAGGCGTGGGCCAGGAAGCCGCCTTCACCATCGAAGGGCGTGCTGTCCCCATGGAAGCCGTCCGCAAAGAAGATCATGATGTCCGCCTGCGGTTCGCGGCCCTCACGCACGGCCGAGTAAGGCACCTCACGGAAGCGCAACGGCGTCACCGACTGCCAGACACGGAAGGCACGTCGGATAGCAGCAAAGGTGGCTTGTTCGCCGACCTTGGGTGTGTAGTTCTGGATGCTGCGATGGAGGCAAAAGATGAGGTCCCAGAACATTAGTTGAGTCCACCCCACTGTCTTGCGTCTCTAAGCAGGATCTGTCAACTGGGTTTGCTCCACCCAACCTCTTAGTTTGTTTAGCGAAGGGGCAGCCTGTCTACCGCTAAGACCCTTGGTAGCCCACAGCATCGCTTCCTCCAGCCTGATGTTCTCTAGATGTGCTGGGACTTCAGCTCCCAGAATCGCCACCTAGCACACCCATAGATTCATAGAAAGGAAGAGTGGAAGAGGGTTTGGAGATCAACTGGTCTAACCCCCTGCTCACTGTAGAAATCCATGTTTCTGCGGTGGGGCGTTGCACCACAACTGAAGGTTAGGAAAGCTGCTGTGGTATGTCTGATAGATTAACCAACCTCACTCGCCCCCCCCCACCCTCAATTTCTCCCCTCTCCACGATTGCTCAAGCTCTCCCTCCATTCCCAGCCACTCACCTTATTATTGACTTTCTGCCTTATTGCAATAGCTGTGATAGTCACTTTCCAAATCTCCAAAACTTAGTGAGGCCGATACAAGAAACCTTCCAGGTAGCCTGACAACCTGGCCTTGTAACAGAAAGATCTAGCGGGTTGTTTGCAAGACTCTGATGTTTTCTTTCCTTTTTTAAGGCCTCTGGTCCTTGTGTTTGTGCCAAAATATGTTAAATGTGACCCTGGTGTTGGGGGTAGGGGTGGGTTGAAGTCTATTAAGGGATGAGGTTTCAAATTAATTCTCATTCCCTGCCCTGTTCTCTGGTTTCTTTCTCTCCTCGCCACTTCCCCCAATTTATCCGGAATTTAACAAGAATAACAACAGCAAAAGTTCCCAGACTTCATACTCAGAGGTATATAAAAAGAAGTTCCTTTTTTTATTATTTTGCATTCTGCTTCCTTCCACTCCCCACAGATTTTTTTTTTTTTTCCCTACAAAAGCCCTTTCCAAGCTGGACTTTTTCTCCCTCCATCTGCATTCCCATCTCACCAGAAACTAAGATCAAAATGCTGCCACTTCAGTCCCTGGATTGCGTAGCGCCTACGCCTCACATTGGCTTTGATTTCCGCTCCAAATTTATCCGGGACGCCACAGCGAGGCCTCTTCATAGCCCTGGAAGAAGGGAGACACGTGTAAGGGGCAGAAAAACACCCCTGCTTAGAAGTTTGCAGGGAGAGGATCGTTGGTTCCCTCCACCCCTGAATTGCTCTTTTGTGGGTCTTTCAGATCACAACTGCTGAAAAGTCACCTAATTCCCCCTTTTGAGGTGGGGAAGAGGCACCAATTGTGGCGGTCCCATCCCATTCAGAAGGGGGGGGGAACGGACAGAACATATCGGGTGGTAGTACCTAGCCCACCTTGGCTGAGCTGGCAAAGCTAAGTAGGGCCAGACCCGATTGGAGTTTGGATGGGAGACCAGAATGTAGGCTAGCTTCTAGGGAAGCTGGAAAAAAAATGTCCTGGAAAACCACTTCCATATTGGTGCCAAGAAAGCTCCATGGAGGTGCCTATGGAGTCACCAGGTCCCTTAACTCAGAGATGGCTTTTCTCATTGATTCTTAGCTCACCAGAAGGCTTAACAGGAGTTACTTGAGGCTTCTCCCTAAATCAAGAAGTGGGAAGTATGTCTCGGAGGGCACAATGAAACCCAGTTTTTGCTGCACAAGTTTGTCCTTCCCTAAGCCAACAGTGGTCTAACAGAAAGTGGGTAGGATTTTGGGAGGGTAGGTTTGAAGCGGAGACCAGGACACAGTTACAGGGAAGCACACATTGGTTGATTGACAGCACTGGAGACACAGATGGGTCTATAAAGGGGTGTTCCTCAACCTTAACAACTTTAAGATGTGTGGACTTCAACTCCCAGAATTCCCCAGCTGGGGAATTCTGGGAGT